CCACACTCTTAGTCACACATTACATTCTTACATTTTGTACAAGGTAATGTAGGCATCTTATTAAATGTTACAACAATACAGATTATTTAATAAATAGTTATATTAATATTTTTAAAGTACTAGAAAATGAATAACACATTTCATCTTATCATCTTACAGCAGCACAAGGACTACAAAATGGATATATTCAATACTGAATATATATATTTATATATATGATTAATGTTTAAATAATTTGAACATTTATCATTACAAATTTGAAAAAACTTATATATGTGTTTTTTAATTAAATATGATAAAACACCACCTTAGATAGAAGGGTTAACCACAGGTAACAACACAGGTAAACACAGGTAAAAACACAGGTAAATACTGCCAATACTACTTAGAAACAGACTATAATCCTTCTAACAACATTATTCCCCCATGTTATTTTAAAAAGGGGGGGAAACGAGAACAAGCCAACCCGATACTCGCTATTTCGCTTACGTCAGAGTGATACTCGCTGTTTGGATTACGTCGGAGCAAAAAGTTAGTAAAATTCTCTCACGATTGGAAGAGTGTTGCGGCAAAATATAAGATTACGTGAGTATAATGATGTGATATAATTATATAAGCAACACAGTTGTAACAATGATAACACAAAAGTCTGTTGAAGGTATAGATACTATCGCATACACGTGTTATAGTAGATTTAATACTTTAATTATGAACATTTTGACGTAATACACAAATCTATCTGTGTTTGATATGAAGATGAACAAAACGCTTCCCCGTGTCATTGAAATGAAGTAAATAGATATAATAATAGAACGAATAATACTTTAGTTATTAAATATATTAATTTATCACGTGGACATTACATTTGTGCATAAACTGCTATTTAATACTGGTGATACGGATTACGAACGTGCTCAGTTTTAGTTGATACGGATTACGTTCTATGTTGTTACGGATTACGTTGTATTAAATCGATTATCAAGCGAGAGTTTTTTATCACTATTTATCATCTCCGTCGCTTCAGGTGAGATATGTATCTTGTCAAAATGTAAAAACAAACTTCTCTTAATCTACTCGGCCAATTTCAAAGGATTCAGATATGAGAACTACTACCTGATGGTGTGCATCCAGGTATTGTTTGTTCAATCTGACCCCTTTTTTGCGGAGTGATGGCCCTTTGTTGAAAAATATTTGTCCAGACAACTCCTCCAACACTATGGGGCCAATTTCAACGGAAGGTTTTAGATATGATAACTACCCCTCACCCTGGATGTTGTTGTGCATCAAGGTGGCTTTTTTCCCATTCCTTTTTTATGAAGTTATGGCCCTTTCTTGAAAAATCCTTGTGCTGAAAACTTCTCCGGATCACATCGGCTAATTTCGAAGTTTACAGGTATGGTAACTGTCTCCTGATGTTGTGAAACCAAGTAGTCCTTTTACATTTCGACCCTTTTAAAAGGAGTTATGGTCCTTTGTTAAACTACTTGTCCGATTTTAATGAAAGTTTACAGATATGGTAATTACCTCCTGTTGTCGTGTATCAGGGTAGTATTTGTTCATTCCGACACTTTTTGACAAAGTTATTGCCCTTTGTTGAACAGATCCTAAAATTTTTTGTCCGGACAACTCGTTCTTAAGTTATAGATCGATTTCAACGAAACTCTCCAGGTATGATAAATACCACCTGAAGTTGTACATCCAGGCGTTATTTTTTTTCATTTCGAGCCTTTTTTTTACAAAATGGCCCTTTGTTGAAAAATCTTTGTATAGACAACTCTTTCAAAACTACGGGGTTAATTTGATGTCGTGCATCAAGGTAGAATTTTTCATAAATTCCGACCCTAAAAAGGAGTTATGGTCCTTTGTTGAGAGAAAAAAAAATGTTGTCTCGGAAAGTGCTGGTCTGATTTCAATGACAGTTAACATATATGGTTAATAAACCCTGATGTCGTGCATCAGGGTAGTATTTCTTTCATCTCGACCCTTTTTTAAGGAGTTAGTGCCCTTTGTTTGAAATCTTTGTCCAGACAACTCATCCTTAATTACTATGACGATTTCAGCAAAACTGGATCATCTGGGCTAACAAGATTTGGTTTGCAAGTTTGTTTTGCAATTAGGAGGGAGTACAGAACGTATGTCACTTACCTATATACTTAAATAAGTGTACAGATCAGTGAATAAAGAAATCATTACTGGTGGGAGACTATGGATTGCTTTGCAATGCTTTACCCTACATGTACTTAGCCTTTAGCTTACCTTTCTGGTTTATATAGGAGGGGGGTATTAGATAGCCTTTGGCTTACAGTTCTAGTTGTTAAAGGTTGTGAGGTCGCGTCACAAAACATTTCGAACTCCCTCCCTTGAAATATGAGTTACTGCCCCTTAATAAGTAGCTTATCATGTAAGTTTGTTTTCAATTTTCCAATTATTAATTATAACTTATTAGTTGAACTTAAGTGATTCCGAGACAGAATAATTGATTTCATTTGACAATAGAAATTTCCATTGGAAACATACATCATTTGTTTAGTCATGTGATTTTGTTTTTTAATAGTCACACCATACATGTGCGAGCTGCAGTGGGTGGTGAATGAAATATATGTGATACGAATAAGAATGTAAGTTAATATAATTATCTGATACCTATTTGATTCCGATAGCACCTGTCTAGATTTCAAAATAACGAACATATTCGGTCTATATAACTGATACACATCTACTCCAAATGTTGGTCAAGTTTGTAATGAGTGTAGTATTAAAACACAGAAGAAAAAAATCAGACTTTTGGGAAGTCTCAGATCTAGAAAAATAAGGAAAGTCAATTTTAAATATTCTTTTGGTTCCTATGTGATGCTTTGTGACTAAGAAAATATCCTAAAATTTGTTAAAAAATATTGATTTTCATTTAGTTGATATATGATTGTTTGACCGTAATCCGTATCATCCCAGTTTGTAAATGAACGTAATCCGTATCACAACAGGGACGTAATCCGTATCGGCATACATACCAACTGCATATTTTGGTAAAAACATCGCTAAAACTTGTATTTAGTTCAGACTATTCAATGTTATTTTGTTGATGAGTCATTGGTCAAGACATGTGTTGTGTAAAAGTAATCTAATTAAATAGTTATTACATTCAAATCTCCACAAAGCCGTATGAAAACTGATGTCCGTACATATATATGATTTCATCAGTCAAAACCAATTCAATTTAAAAACATATTGATAAAGCAGCGAAGACATACTTATAGGTATATAGACCGATTGGTAATTTGTATACACGAGTCACTGCCTGGTATCCCAGTGCTCGAACTTCTCAATGATGCTTTCATATCCATAATAGAGTTGTGTAACGGAATACACTATTTAGTTCACAGACATCGACACCGCCGTCAATATAGTGATATAGTTAGTATACATCGTCAATACATGTCTATCGCTGCAGAGTTTCCAGTGTTTGTCCGCCTTACGAGTACACCAGTGCTATATCATATAGTGACGTACGTGTGAAATTCCATCTATATTATTTTCAAATATCGATTTAACTTTCGACTTGAATGCTTCCTTATCTAAAGCACCAACGGAATCTGATAGATGACGAAACATATCTCTGTAAATTTGCGTAGATGGCATACTTATTTCATCTTCGTCTATTTCTTCGATTGAGTTATCATTGTGTGAAGGCATTTTTTAAGAGTTCAATATCACTGGCGGCGTATCCTACACAGTGGTTTTATCGATACCGTCCAAACCTGATACGCGTTAGACCGTGACGCGTCGTCGGCCGTTGGTCCCATGTTGAACCTTTTTACAGGCTGGTTCATAGGCTACATATATTAGCGAGTTTCTCATTCCACTAATGGGTGTATATACTGGCGCGTACGGACTTACAATACGTTCTATGCGCTAGCGTCACACACGAGGACGGGTATGTGCCTTAGCATAGCTAAGGAAACGAGTAATTGCCGTATTAACGAAGGGCCAGTTATCATTAGAAAACATAAGACAGGATCACAGGAAAACGTTTCAAGAGAAATGCTTAGCATACCAAAACCGGAAGTTTTTATTTTTATTTTCAATGTATATTTTTTTAGTATAATCCTGCCAGGTACTTACTTGAAATACCAACTTAATATTTGACAGTTTCGCTGACAGTTTCGCCGATCAATCTGCCATCATGGACACCAGTGAATGTATGACTAAGGAATAACCCTCTGTGACATTTCGATTGACTTTCTTGAAAGGGCGTTAGAAGGAAACATTACATTTCATAACGGAAAACTCCTCTTTGGTATGTTTTCGTTGATAATTAACTAAAGCTAATGGATGACCGGAGGTGTGACAGGTAACTTGGAGAGGAGAAACATGTTTTGCTGTATTCAGGAGCATGAGATACGTTAACACGAGAAACACAAGTTTACCTGTTTAGATATAATGTGTTTAAATTAGGTGCAATAAATCATATGTGCTATGGTACTCCAAAAGGAAGGATACATCTCTTAATGAAACTAAGAAGTCGGACTATTTCAATATCAAGTCAGGTACATCTAGTTCTTAAAGTAAAATATAAAACACAGAACAGGATGACAACAATGCGTCCGAGAACAAATCGTCTGCTGAGAAAAGATGAATTTTTTTTACGATTGCAGACAGGTAACACAGGATATTGGTTATATTTGTTTATATTTGTGTGTGGACTTCTCTGGGTAACATATTATAGTTTTGATGATAAACAGACTAGTTTACATACCCACAAGGTTGTTAAACCTACCACAAATATATCGAAAAACATGTCGCTATCTCAAAGATTTCAGGATCAATCAAGAAAGAGAAAGCATAATTTTAATAATTTTTTTGTTTATACGGCCAACAAAAATAGCGGAGAAATGTCACGTGATTTTCACTTTCCTGAGTCCCTGAAAACACCCCCCTTGATAGTCAGCTGCCCGAAGCTTTTTTCAGGAAATGAAAAAGAAAGAAGGCGATCAAAACTGATAATGACGATTAAGCGAAAATCTTCGCCTCCAGTTTATGAAAAACTTACAAAGGACTGTAGAATATTCAAACATAGGAGGAAGTACATTACCAGTTACCTAACTCAGGAAGAACGAGAGTTCCCCATAGCCTACAGTATGGTGGTATACAAAGACCTAGAACAAGTGGAAAGACTCCTAAGGGCTATCTACAGACCCCAAAATCACTATTGTATACACGTGGACTTGAAAGTTAAAACTAATTTTCGGGAGACATTGTCCAAAATTACAGACTGTTTCGAAAACGTCTTCATCACAAAGAAATCAATAGATGTCCGATGGGGGAAATTCTCTGTACTAGAGCCTGAACTTGTATGCATGAGTGAATTGTGGAAATACAAAAATTGGAAATACTTTATCAATCTGACTGGACAGGATTTTCCTCTCAGAACTAACGCAGAACTCGTCAAAATCCTCAAATTCTTCAATGGCTCTAACGATGTCAATGTAGCCGATAAAAGGTAACAGGATCGATCAGGTTTACCACATGATAACATCTATAAAGGCTTCGATAATATCCGTGAAAATGTGAGTTGGTAAGAGGCTTAAATATATAGCTACGTTAACGAGTCATTCTCATGAGATACAAATGCAAGGTTATCATATTGGGGTATATTTTTTGTATGAAGTCTTTAATTTAACTAATGTAAGTGTTTTTGTCTTTTATAGATCAACACAAATGGATAGAATATTCACAATATATAAATGTATTCAAATATATCGAAACACCACCTATCAACTAAAATCAAAATGTACTTTAAAAGTAGATTTTAAGAGGTTTAGAAACGACGTTCGTTCTGCTAAAAATAACATCGCATGATTTAACCCCTAATATGATTTCTCAAAAAAAGATAACCTGATATGTCAGTTATAGCATAGTTCCTATACAGCCATATCATTTGTTTATGACCCTCCCTCCAGTCACGTAGTATGCTAGTGTGTACATCGTTTTTAGTGTAAGTATGTTTACGACAAAGGGAAGCTTGAGGCCATCCCGTCAATTTTTGAACAAAAAAGTTTCAACCTTGAGCCATGTTTTTAAACTTAATATGTGTATCATTGATTTTATTCCGGTTCTCATTCATTTCGTATCTTTCGATTCTGTCTCTACATGAATCGAACCGCTGGCACGCACCCCTCCGACACGATTTCTCACCCGGCTGAGAAATCGTGCTAAAATTGCTACGTTCCCAACACGATTTCTCCCCCCGACACGATTTCTCACCCGGGTTGAGGAGTCGTGTTAGGAGTAGGCATATTATCCGGTATCATGATTTTTGGCGATTGTGGTATATTTAGGCTTTTTTATAAAGGGACTATTTCCAGCTGTGTTAAACTTACAGAGGAGCATGTCCCCTCTTAAATTTTCTTTCAGAAGTGCTACGAGATTTATGATGTTGTTTTAACTTTTTTCAATCCCTCATGCATCCGATGTTATTTCTTTGAATCACTCTATTTATTAAGATGATTAATTACAGCATTTTTGTTACAGCATGGGGGTCGAAAAATGGAATATCAGCCTGAAATATTTTTCTGAAAAATAATCGTATTTTTTGCATCATATTACTTGGGAAAGGACATTTTGTGAAATTTTTAATGTAAAATATAGGATTTTTCATTCTTATTATTCTTGTTTACCAAATATGTTCATAGTATTAAGAAGTGGTGTTATTTCAAATATGTTTGCAAACATTCAGTCAAAAAAATGTGGTGGAAAGTATTCATTTCGCACAACAAAGTACCCAGTGTGCCCAAAGAGGTGAGGGCCTAAGACACCTCCCTGGCGTCCACTTAAAAGCAATGCACCTGATTACAGGTAATTGGTTACGAAACTCGTTGCAAGCCACTAATAAATCTATTAGTGCATATTAGGTCACAAACAATTCCAAATCCAATTTTGAGATCAAATGTAATTTTCTTGCCACTTCTCAGAATTAGTTCTGATACATTTTATAACATATTTTTTATACATTTTATCATCAGACTTTAGTTCATACTCAGTTGTTAATTTTCAATTCATAATGAAGAGCAAATGTATTGGTGAAGGTCGCCATCCTATCTTCGCGAAACAGAACGTTTTGATGATGAAACCACTAGTAGTTTGTTTTTTCTTAACAATCAAGGACCTGTATTACGGATCCTGATCACATATAAAATGTTGTCTTTGTTTTAACAATATGAATTCATTTCATCTTATTGGCAATGACCTAAACCCTTGTACACAGGTTATCCTATAAGGAAGAGAGTCTTTGAACTCTCAATCATGAAGGTGGTCATCTGAAATAATTGGTGACCTTTTAGAAGTATCGTACATCTTGTTAAAGAATCAATGAGCCTTTATTCTCAATTGTTTTCTCTTGGATGACCCTGGCTGCATATGCAATTTGTCCCATTTCTTTCTTCTTCAGTATATACCAAAACTGCACAAAATGCTCTTTTACTGTTTTGGGTCAAGATAAAAACTGATATCTCTTGTAATTAAGTGTTCCGCTCTTGGCATTGCTCTGCCTTGTATTCCAAAATCCTTTCAGTACAAGTATCGAATACAGTTGTAAATCTATAGTTCCAGTGTTCCTTCGTCCTGACCATTTGAGTAGGGACCATATTTCCATACAATCCTGTATTCTCAGAAACATTCTTGTGAGACAGAGTGACTGCCATACTAGATGGTACATATATACTTATATAAAAAAAAGTGCTCTCAATAAGCTTCAGAGAATGTCTTACGTTGGCCAGAAGGAGCATAATTATCTTAAATTCATGAGCATAACTCTACCTGATGGCTACATTTTGAACACAGTATGACCATTCTCTGGACGCCAAAATGATACAAGCATTACAAAAGCTTACATGGTTGGAGCAAGATGACAATGTAGTCGTTGGTCGTAGTTTTAGAGATGTCCTGCCAATGTTAGAGGTATCTGGTATTGATACCAGTATGCACGCATATTTTAAGACTGGTCAGAGACAACACTCTGATCTACAGGCTAATATTGACAGAACAGTTACTAAATCCCCATGGATTGTAGAGTCTTTTCATTGCCTTATTAAGATAGTTTTTTGAACTCAATTAATATCGAATTGCTTCATTGATATACTTATTGGAGTGCTAAAGATTGTGCATGTCTCAATTAGATACGAGGACCATTTTATCAAAGATCACCGGACTCTAACAGAAAAGACAGAGAACTCGCACATCAAATGAAGATTCTACTCACAGAAACAAACTGTTTGGCTCAGAGGGTGAAAACAACCAGCGCTCTCCAAATGAGCAGAATCAGAATTCGTAAAGATTATGAAATATGGGTGAATCAGCACTATCAAGACCTCATCTGTTGCCAGATTTATTCCAGATACAAACGCTAGACTAAATATGATGTTTGGGTTCATTACAGCACGACACCAAATGATAATAATCCAATAAAAGATTACTACTGCCAATGCCCAATTGATCAAAGAACTATGGGAATGTGTGCTCATACATCAAGTATACATTATTATCTTGGCCATTTTAGAATTCTTTAAAATCCAAAACAGTTGCACCAAAGGACTAAGATGTTCCGACAAATCTTGAAGCTCGCTCTTTTCCAAAAATGAGAGTTGACGTCAGAAAAAACAAGTGATTGAAACAAGCAGCATATGTAAGCTGTCGAATGAAAGGAAGAAATTCGTTATTTTGAGGATACGTTTTTTTTTCTAACGGCACCTTTATTTACAAAACACTTTAGATACAATTTGACTTCGTGTTGCTATCAATTCGGTATTCCCATCTAATCAATAACTTATATTCCGTTTTCCATGTTGATAAGTAGATTTTTCATGCTTAATTCGGATTCGTAGTAATATACATAATACATATGTACCTGAAGGACATTATCAAAGCTAAGCGTTTATCCGTTGTTTATCCGAGGCAAAGTGAAAAATCATCGCGCATTTTTTGTTCCTCACCGAATGCGTGTGTAATCAGTAAGGAGTTATCGTTTCACTATTGATGCTATTGTAATTCCTATAACAAACATTTTCCCTAATTATCTGATGTATGGATTGCAGTTTTTTTAACAGAGAAAAGATTATTTTAAAAAGTAAAGAAACAGTTTTGTTATTGTTGTAAAATGGATTGTATTCGAAAAGATCAAACACCCCGGATGGAAAACATTAGACAATACCCTGTTAAAGATACAGAGCTGGGGTGAGAAATCGTGTCGCCTATGCCCATATAGATTGCACAATATCTCACCCGGGTGAGAATTGTGCAGGGGTGCACACGAAGTACTGCATACAAATTGTATTGGTTGTGTAAAAAGAACATAATGCATACTTACCACCTTGAAGAAAATGTTTAGAAATAGAAGTACTGCACTCTTTCTTTCATACTGTAGGAATTAATACATACTTACTTGTAGGGGTGCCTGTGCGTGTTCTGTTTGTGTGTTTCGTCAGTGTTTTACAACACTGATGTATTTGGAACCGGAAGATCAAAATATATTCCATTTTTATTACAGTGCTAAAAATACGCGATGGTCAAACGCGGGGGACGCTCCCGCTGGTATCCGACCAGTGAAAGGATCACTCCATGTCGCCGTTAACAGGCATTTTGTGGATTATGTCCTCCATAATGACACAGCGAAGAAACTACTGGACTGGTGTAAGAAAACAGAAATTCCAGACGAGACGTTTTTTGTATCACTTCATTATAACAAACATCTCGGCATCCAAGGATCTTCTACAGGTTTGAAATAAGAAAATACAATTAAAACATAATTAAGCATTGAACTGTTTTTGTATAGTATTTAGGATCTATTTGAATGACACAGCTTTGCAAGCAAACAACATAATACGCGCGAGCGCATTATGATTTGTTTGCTTGCAAAGCTGTGTCATTCAATTAATTCATAAATACCACACAAAAACAGTTCAATACTTGGTATACATTACAACCATGATATGAAGTGGTGTCTCCCTGCAAAGAATTTTGATTTGACAATTTTTGCAAAAGTTCTTGCCCTTTGTTCATTTCAGTATTTACTTTTTTTAAATGAGCAAAGAGAAAAATTTATTTGTTGATTGAATGGGAATCTATAGGGTGATTTAAGTTTATCAATAGAACTCTGAGCTGAAAGTTAGATTATAAAATTGTTTCGATTTTTACCCGTGACAAATTTTGCGCATGTATGAATACAGTGAACACCGTAAATCCGACCTTGCCCTCCACGAGGGAATTATTTTTGAAAGTTAATTCGAACTTTTCTCTTTGCTCAATTTGTGAAGAATACAGACGTGAATTTATTTGTTGAATGTATGGGAATCTGACTACAGTCGGTAAATTCTATAACAGCCTCGTTATTTGACATGTCGTCAGAAACTGAGGAAACCGTGGCTGCGAGACGCGTGAAACTGATAGCGTTTGAAGTGAGTGATTTTGCGACGGAGCACAGTGGTTCGTTACAAATGTCTGAAATGTCTATGTGTGCTGTGACTCATATCAGTAGGTCTGTAACATATGTGTCAGTGGGTCTATAGAATATGTGTATTCCAGACATTTGTAACGAACCCCTGTTGATCAGTGCAGTGTATTTCTGATAAATTGCATGAGCGTTAAAATTGTTTCCATTGCCGGCATTGGTGATTACAACCGATGTGCATTTTGTACGATATTGCAGACCTTGTTCTTGTTTTTGTTGTAAGAAAAGTATTTTTTATATATTTTCTTTTTTCTTTTGCACCTAAATTTACAATTGCATTGTCAAGTCTCACAATGCCCAGCAATATTTTAACAGCCGTCATGTTTATTTACATCGGATATTGTAGTTCCGGTCAGTGTTGTATTTATACGCTAAGAATTGTGTCTTGTGCTGCATGGTAATTAAAGTCCCATCAACGACACAGCTTTCAAAGAGGCTATATAGTGACAATGCCATGCAAATGTAACTTTATACATATAACAACGTGTCATATTTAGATTATACAGCAAACGGCCAAAGGTCATTCGGCGCAGCATAAAAACAAATCTGCAGGTGTCTGTATAGTGTTTTCAGTCCGAAATTTCTTTAATAACTGCGACTTTAAACGTATTTATGTATTATTCGTGTCATTATTTATCAATGAATCATTTAATATTCTATTGATTATTGAAGTGTGGTGCAATACAAAAGAAATGAAAATTGAATAGTAAATTTAATGGAGGCCGTGGTACCCGTACAGCCGTGACCAGTAAAGCTAGTTTGTTTGCTCACTTGCTTTCATTGCGGTACATTGCAATGACAGAAATATATCTGGTTGTACCTGTAAGCGGCGGACTACATTCATATCTTTAACTCTACTCGCCACATTTCTGAATAGTTCATTCGATATAGTTCTAAAGTGACCAAAAGATTGTGTATACGTAACAAAATGAAAACGTCATTAACATTCAAAGTATCAAACGAGTTATTATTCTTTAATGATGTAACTTTCTATTAGTTATCCCCATCACATTTTCAGGAGAGACAAGGATGTACCGGACAAGATTTAAGACTTGGGCTGGGAGTTATTTGCCTTGCAAAGGAAAACACGTACGAAATATTTGTATATATGGCGTTGGCGACCTACCTTTGCTGAAGACGAGACCAGAACTATTTGTCAACAAATTCCACCTGGACTTCGAGCCTTTTGTACTGGACTGTATGGAGGAGATGATTTATAACAGAACAAGGGATGGATACCTCCAAAGTTTAACCTTTAATACGACAACGTATAATGTAAATTAATATAATCTATATGACATTTTGCACATGTTTGACTTTATCTAGACTAGTCGAACAATAAGAGGGTTTCTGTGGTCACTCCTGATATGTGCCGACGTCGGTGTTGGTGTTGAAAGGCGAATCATTTCTGTTGTTATTTCTTTATAGGACCTTACTTTATCGTACGTTAATCTTCGACCTTCCACGGTGGCGGGTTTGTTCCTCGAAGTCGTCGTACGCATGGAATATTCAGAGGAAATGTTTTTTCTCCTGCCCAAACGACCCAGGTGGAGTATAAAATGGTCTTGGGTGGATGTTGTTGTTGTATCTGTAAATAACTATAAATGACGTTGGGAGCACGGTCCCACTACAAACAGAACACAATACATCATCTCCAGCTCACGCGCAGGCATACACACATAAGTTTGGTTTGGTTTGGTTTTATTTTGTTTAACGTCCTATTAACAGCTAAGGTCATTTAAGGTTGGCCTTCCTTGTGTGCAAGATGCATGCGTGTATGTGTGTGTATTTTGGGAGGCTGCGATATGTTCGTGTTTGTTTCCTTGTGATAGCGCGGAACTGATGCCGACTTTATAGTCCTATCTCACTGAAACATACTGCCGAAGACACCCAGCAGGACGCCCCACCCGGTCACATTATATTGACAACGGGCGAACCAGTCGTCCCACACCTAATTTGCTGAGTGTTAAGCAGGAGAAGAAACTACCATTTTTAAAGACTTTGGTATGTCTCGGCCAGGGGACAGAACCCAAAGCGTTCCTCACAGGGGCAAACGCTCAACAAATAGCTAAAAGTGAGGCATTGTCAAGGGACACATAAGGAATAAATTAGCTATGTGGCAAAGGACTAGTAGTTAGTGCCTTATTAGGCAGCTCCTGCGGAGCCCTCACAATTGCACTGTTTACTGTATATGCTAATTGTATTAATTGTATATCTATGTACTGTAAAGCGCTTTAGAGTAGCTTATCTTAGTTAGATAGGGCGCTATATCAAAAAAATATTTTTTTTTATCATATTTAAAAATTTTCATTTTTGTACACTGTATATGACGTGCAATATGACTGCATCCCTTATTTAATGGCACTGAGAATGGTAGCGAGAGGGTTGGATAATGGCATGTTAGAGCCAGTTATTAAACGTTGCTTATTAGGATAATTCCAAAGTCTCGGAATCCAATAAAAAACGAGGCAGGTCCGTGTCCTTATCGTTCATGGGTATTCGGAAAGATTGTAATCTGAAATCGTGATTTGCTAGTATTTCGTGTTTTGAAACTGTATACATGTTTACTTGTTTACGTTCAAGCCTAGTTCTTTCTGCATGCAGGTAATAAAATAGAGATTGTAGACAAAGATTAATTTATCATGTGATTTGTCTGCAGATACATCTACATCTATGGCGCAGCCGCGGGAAGAAGTCTTATGAAATGTTCCCTCGTTGACAACGGTTCGGGGTACACATTAAGGGCTATTGGTTTGATGTTGCTTTTTTTTCAAAAAAACAGAAAGACTTGAAAGGTGACTACGAAGAAAAATGTACTTATATGAAAACTGAGAGTGTCGATGCAGACAGTAAAAGATATTTATTTTCTGCACAATTTAGAAGTTTCGTCCGTTAAGGACTCATTAGTGATATTATATTTTATTTTTTGTGATCCCATATCAGGTGTATTTAGAAACATATGAAGAAATACAGGATAGGGGGAACTTGTTACCACATACAACACTACAAACAATGACGGCGTACTATTAAGACGCACGATAACCGTGAAGAAATGGATTATCCTATTATTAATTTTCTTTTCTTGAGAATAACATCCCTGCTTTCTTAATCCACCGTGGATGCATATCGCATAAGAATCGATAATCAATACCTCGCTCCGACTGTGATGGTACCAAATATTCTGAAGAAAGAAATAATTTTTCCCATAGCCTTTCCATGGAGTTTGAAGTTGCTCAATTGAAAATAGTGAGAAATATCAAGCAGACACCTTTTTAGCAATAAGTTAAAGGGACATAACTCAGTAAAATACTTTCGATCAATAGTAGTTATCGTACTTGTCTGAGCTCACTTATAAATAAACCTTCCTTTAACGTTTGAAGTTAACCCGTTGAAAATTACTTGAGATGTCGAGCGGACAGTCTTTAGACGCATAAAAATCGTTCCCTCGATTTGTTCTGTCTACATCACACAGGCGAGATGGGTTAGAACAGATCTACTTGTTGAAACCTTTACTCGTGATACGTTCAGGCTGAAAGCTATAACGGTTGAAGTACGTAAATAGAGCCAATTCTTTACCGTAACCATTCACCTTACATATCCATTTTATACCTTAGTGACATCTGAACGTACTTCGTCGTCTTTATGTCCTGTTATCCAAAAATAGCGTAACTAGAAGCATTTACATGACCTCTGTACGCCGATTATTTAAAAAATAACCCAGATAATTGTAGAATGAAAGCCGATCTAAAGTAGCATTCGAATGAACCTTTTCACTTCTTACTATGACAAAATGTGTGTATATGATTAACCAGGCGTGTCCCCTACTGCGATCAGTGTCCCCCATGTGAAGTCATAATTGTGAAATAATGCACCGACACTTTAAAAAATTATGTTTGCTGCTGGTATTTAAACTTAAGTCAACACTAAAATTGGCTTGAGTCACAAAATCTTTTTTTGTGAAGAGTTAATAGTAGACAGGTCGTTATATTGATAGCTACAATTGTAATTCGGTCTGCCTCCAGGTCTTATTGATTCCCTTTGTATTAAGATCTAAGACAACTTCGACCAGAATGAAATGTCCTGTCAGGTGAAACTTGTACAGCTAGACTGCGAAATAACCGATAAAAGGATCCTTTTACCACATATCATACACTGGAAACTTTTTCAGAATGACTTGGGCTTTAAAAAATACATTCGGTAAAGAAAGCCACAGCTGGAGGATTTCTTTATTAAAATAAAGATTTTTTTAAAGATTTTAGTTTCAAATCATCAAAGCTGTTCCGAATGAAAAAACAGAAACGGGGTCAGAGTCGCTACAGTTATATCCATATATGAAATTAAGAGGAAGTTAGTGTATATAGAAAACCTACAGTGGAGCTATCTATTGTTTTGCCTGTCGTGGGACAGGATCCGTAAACGCTGTCACGTTTTACCGGACCATAACTAGATAGCAACATAACCAAACAGAGGTATGGAAATGGTGGTGAATACGTTTACGGAAAAAATGATATCTGTTAATGACGAACTATATATATAGTGATTCACAATAGTGAACGATACACTTTTGCCAATGATCGAGATATTGAATTATATCAACTTTAAAAAACCTATATATTTCACGCAGGAAATCAAAAGTAATGTTGTTCACAGTGTGAAGATATCTCTTTAGGTATAGTTAGAAAATAAAGGTACCTGTCTGTCACCTAGCTCAAAGCCGCAGAGCCCATGTTCTTGAAACCATTATGTTAGTATGTTGACCCTATTGGCCTCATTGTCACTACCCCGGTCATCTTTTTGAGGACTTGGCATTACTTATAGTTGACATAGATTTATGTGGCGGTTGTCGCCGATGAAAATCCTTAACCTTCCATAACACCTGGTCGTATTATCTTTGTTATTTTGTTTGGTTACATTTATTTTGTTATTGAAGCATCGCTGGACGAGTTAGTCAGCAGAACGCTCATTGGCATGTTCCGCGCTGCAATTATACTGTCGTCGTTGATGTTTCCCGTCTTTTTTGGGTTTTTATGGTTTTAATTAGCGATATTTCATACCAATGTATGATATAGTTGTCATTAAAATACTCTTTGAGCATTGGCAAGGTTCATACATGTAAAATAAACTTGTTCTTGATTCTTTAAATTTTGATATTATCCTATACTCCTTTAATTGTTAAAATTCCTATAACTTAGGGGGTTCAACGCACCTCCTTCTCTGGTTCGACTGTAATTTAGACTGATTTGAATTACCACGTTTTTTGACCCAGCCATCACCGTTGAGACCTAGAAGGACGATATGACTGTATGATGCAGTGTTATTCATTTTAGCATGAGCTTACTATTTATATTACCAAATTCTATACGTGTAATCACGTGGGTCGTTTACGTTATCTTTTAAACATTTAAACGTGTGTCGGGTGAAACGCGGCGTACGCTATAGGTGTGACACTGTGATATAACATTGATGATAAATTCATTATTCGTCGTGTTAACATTTCATACGATCTGATAGACATTGTACGAGTTTTTTCTCTCTTTATTTACAAAGAAAAATACGAATGAATATGTATATAGATATTTAGCATGAGCAACCGGACCGTTATCATTTATCGATGCAATTTACTTGAACTTTGAACCTTTGACACTAAACTGTATTACGGAAGTGATTTCAACAAAACAAGTGATATACACCTTCACACTGATATCTCGACACAAAAAAATAAAATTTCAATTCAAAAGAAAGTACATAACTAGTTCACATGTACATTCATAAAGACCGGAAAAAATTTGTCGGGCCTGTGACCAATTCAACAGTATGCCGATTGGAAAGACGTGATGATAATTTGGTCCGTGATATTACAGTTAAAAGACCAATGCCACTGTAAGCTTTTGACTTCCAAGCTATCGGTAGGAGGTATGTCGTCATTGTTAGTTGTTTTGAGTATAACTGCTTTAATGTTATTTGGAAACAAAACATAATTATTTTTGTTTTAATTTCAACTGGAAACACTGACCACATACTCATTAAATGAGATAACGTCGACAAAACTGTATTAGATCGTAATGTGTATTGAGAAGTGTTTAACTTGATGGGTTTATTTTCGAAATTAATTTGAAAAAGAAATGTGGTAGATAGTTGCATAAATGAGTCGACTCTTTTTTTACAACTGACTTATTTAAAGCATGATACTGAACAATATCATCTCTATACATGAATGTTGACAATGCAGTAACAAGGAAATAATTGGAAAGACCAAAGTCAAGATAATCCAAAAGTTAAACAAAGAGTTAGATAATTCCATAGATTTAAAAAAAAACGTATTTATATTTTAATGATATGTATTTAACATTTTCGTTAATGGCTGGCCTCCCTAGGAAAACACTGTATGACGTATTAGGCATCGTTAATGTCGGTATGGTTTGGTATTCTTCAACACCTCACAGGTGTGTATCCCGTTACGTTGGAAAATATCAACTTGTCACCTCCAAGGAGACTCAAGGAGTGGATAGACTCGTGGACACAAAACACAACCATTCAATGTCGTCAGTATGAGGTGACTAGCGGCCAGGTTTTTAAATGAAGTGGAACCTCATTACATTTATTCTAAGGTTGTCAGACACGCTTGCTATCGAAACAATGATTGTCTAAAGGACATGGCTATATCTTGTGGATCATGTCGAAATAAGATAACGTGGTATGTCTATAATCTTTAGTGTCGGCCCTGGTTTTATAACGTCATAGATAATAAAAAACCCATTGATAAATAAATGAAAAACACGGTGATTTTCAGGACTCTTCACAGGCACAGGAGACGTATTACGTTGTGTAAAATAGATCACATATTCCATCAAGTTGTAGTCTTGATATTAATTGCTACCATGACAGGCGATTGCGGCCGTGATTGTTGATTAAAGCTTGACGTTGTGTGGCACATTTGTCGTATTTAGAGCGTTAAAATATAAAACTTAATTTGCATTTGACTCCTGGATATTGTTTGCATTACCAACTCGAATTTCACAGCATAAAATTGATACACACGTAGAAAAAACACAGCCGACATATTAGCAGGAACATGGAAACCTTGGACTCATCAACGTGACGTCATTGGCACATTTGTATTATATTAATGCGCTATAGAGCAGCAGACTGGGTACACATTATTTACTCGTGCAAACGATGACATTTGTATCTCCTGGCGACTTACAAATACACCGGATTTAGCTATTCCCCAACACTCAGGGTGGTATCCCTGTAGGTCAACTCCATCTCAGACCCTGGTTCAGACGATTAAGAAAATCTCTTATAATTTCGATAATCCCTCATCCCCTTAAGGCAGGGGAAGATTCATTTAAACACTGTCGAAGTGTGAGACATGTAACAAAATAGAAAAGTTAGGGAGTTTCATTGATAATGTATGGATTATACTCATGAAAATAAAACATGTATTTAAAGTGCAAGTTTTAAACACATAATGCACAATGTCATACAGTAAACCCCATGTACATCAAACGTGTATTCAGACTAAGCACACATCAAGAATTCAACAAAACACATCTGTGTTTGACGCAGGTCATACATACTCCACACATGTTCAAAGTTAATTACATAGGATCAATGCTATTTACACATGTTCAACGTTTCATGTAATCACACTGTATTCAGATTACAATTTGTAAAAGATAATTGTATAAGGTCCAAGCTGGTCAGATGTGTTCCACACTAGTTACATTGCTTGGAGTTTTCCTGGAAGCAGGTTTGTTCCGGACAAGGGTAGATAAGCATTTTGTCGGGCATGCATCTCACGAACTTGGTACACGTGTACGGGTGCGCTATTCTGGTGTCATTGGTGAAACCATCACAATGAATCTCTGTAAGATAAGAAACAGTATTGTACTACAGGCTATACAATACCAGGGTACGGTTATCAGGAATCGCTAAAAACCCTCGTGTGGTGGTCGGTAAGATAGCTAACATCACAAAGACCATATCACAAAATAAATTAAGACTCTTTCATGCCGAGGGGTGTAGGATAGGGAAATTCAACAGCTTTATATTCCACACACGGAAATGAGAGAAAACATGTGATAGACTGGGACAGCCCTCGGGTAGTTGCTACAAGACTTTTTCATGGCAAGGGTTGTATAGTAGGGAAATTCCACAAAAGGGGTTTCAAATTGGATAAAGTCCTGGGGTTTGTGGACGGTATTGCATCATTTAGAATATCCACAGTGCGGAATTTCCCTTTCCTACCCTACTGTACATGAAAGGGTATTTTTCTCTTATTCAAATGACCAGAATTATCTTAGAAGCCACGTGACCTGTACAGTTCTGCCGAATACGCACGGGAATGTATGGTAGCTTATAAATGACATTCGTCTTTTCGCTTCGTAGCCCGCGAAATAACGCCAAGCGAAAAAACGAAATAACGAAAAGACGAAAACCCGCCAAATCTAAATAACGAGAATACGAAAACCCACCATTATTAGTTATCTATGGGTAAGGAGGGGTCCACCCAAGGGGTTTTCAAATTGTCCTGAGGTTTGTGGACGGTATTGAATATCAGATTCCGGCACACCATTACCAATTAACGGATACGTAATGTGTGATTTCATAACATACAAATAAATCATGGTTATTTCTTGAGAGTTTTCGTCAAGTATTTTGAAAGCGGTAAGTGATAATGAAAGTAAGAGTGTTAGGAAAATGCGCAGACCTGTGTCACTTGACAATGTTAGTAACGTGTCGCAGCGAGGCGTGTTGGCCACCGATGTTGCCATTGCATTAGGACCACTGTATCAGTAATGCCACTGCATTGGGCCACTGATCTCGCAGTGAGGCGTGAGGGCCACTTCACCTTCATATCACCAAGACAAAGAAACATTTTGTAACACGAGTTTTCATTGGTCAAATTGGTCGATAATAACATTCGCTCTCAACCCATGTATACTTTTAGTACTAACAGTCATTTGTTTAGTGATGCGCCAATGACTTGTCAGTTGTAATATCTTGGTCCGTATTCATGAAACCGTTCTCTTGTTCAAGCATGGATTTTGTGCTCAAACCGGCTGTTTGTTACCCATTTAAACCAGACAACCGATCGAAAAATCTATTGTAAACATTGCAAACATTATTCTACTTTAAGAACATTCAAATGTTTTCCAAATCATTGAAAAATTATATTTTTTTTATAATTTATTACCGGGACAAGAAATTAGGCTAGAGCACAAAATCAATGTTTGAGCATGAAAACGGCTTCATGAATACGGGTCCTGAAGTGTGGAACGCTTAAGTTAAAAATGTGAGTGTACGAACAGCATCTGAGCATCGGTCGACTGTGACATTTATTTAACTTTGCAATGTGAATGTTTTCTGTTTGGCCTGCGACTTACCACTCTCTCTCTACAGTACTAGATCTTGTTCCGCCGACTTCGCCGAGACTTCTTCCGTCGGCGGCGCCGTCTAGTAACCTTTCTTGGTTTGCCTAGAGAGTCCAGGAAATACGTCACACTATAGCACACGTTGCTTGTAGTAACTCTGTGGTATACCCCACTGACAAATAAACACTACCCTACTGGGACAGACATCATATTCATGCGTTTTGTGTGAGAGTTATTTCCTAGTAATATAATCAACAACATCGAATCATTCAAATGGAACTTTGTTATTGAAATACAACTGTGCATGCATTATTAAATTTTAAAGTTATTCAACTTAGAATTCTTTTGTGAAAGGAGGAATATTTCTGAGAAAAGGCATGAGACCGGTTAAAAAAATGTTTTCTATTTTCACTGCTCATCGATTCATTCCGGAAAAACAGAGGTAAATATGAATAAAATTATTTCTGTAGTAACTAACTAAAATATACGAGGGTCTGCTATGTAAAGGATACAAAGAACATCAAAGAAAACGGATGTGTACTGGACATTTTTAAAAAGAGAGAGAAAAGAATATCAATACTTATTTTAGCAAAACAAATTTGACTTTGGATAGACAGCAATAATCTTATTTGGATTAATTTAAAAAATATATATGTATTAAGAAAGTATTGATATATGAACGTGTAGCATGCTGTATTATAAACTAGAATCTAGCTAGACGCCTAATAGCTAGGTCATATTTTGTTAATACATTTGTTTGTTAATAACTATTGTTGTGAACGAAGGGAGCTAACTCGAGATATACACGACACACAGTGATAGAGTCGACATGCACAGTACAGGTGGGATGTCTGGTTAATGTTTATATATCGGTCACAATTGAAAAGATAAACCAACACCTGAATCTGCATTGGTATTGTCATTTATGGAAAAAACTGATACCACAGTGAATTTCTTCCTGAACATCAACAAGTTAAATTAATCCATCGATGTTGCAGTAGGGTAATTACGAGTTTATCAATAATCCTGCATAAAAACTCTGAAAATCTTACATTCTAAACTAATTCCAAATATTTCTTAACATCCATTTCCCCAAGGATTATCTATTATCATTTTCATGTGCGCCTCACCTCACATTAATATATGGTCATACAAATTTAACTTCATTTTGACAGGTAAGAAAAGATCGCAAAGCGATAATATATTTATTTTCCGTATAATCTCCCTAAACCCTGTGCGACCGGTGCTGTCTGGGTATTAGGGAGACGAAATGTGTGTGTGGTGAGGGGGAATGATAGGGAGATGGGGAGGTACCATTGTATGAGGAGAAGGAGGAGGGAGTTCATCCGGTATCTTATATATGTGCAATCAAAATAAAATATGCTATCTTATAATTAAGTTGTAATTGTTCATTATTTCGTAGGGAAAGGGATACGTGCAGGAAGTAAGACTTGTACCGAAATACGCGAGTATATTTCCTACCATAAGCAACTTTCAGTGAAATCCTGTTTAGTGGTACTTATTTGAGCTAGACATCAGGATAAGACTCGAGCCCGCGCCTTCCCGAACTCTGAGGTTTAACCCTGTCAAACAGCCTGTACCTCATAAACATCCGGGACGTTCATGTCCTTCCATTCGAAACATTTTGAAGGCTGAATAAGACTGTTACTGAGACCGTTTGTGAGCACAACTCAAGGAATCAGTTTAGAGGACGGTTTATACAAATATAGTGTGACGACAGTCTGTAGATAGTGTGAGACGACAATCTGTAGATATGGTGAGATGACGGTCTGTAGATATTGTGAGATGACGGTTAGCGCAGCTATCTGATATTGTGAGATGACGGTTTGCACAGCTATCTGATATTGTGAGATGACGATTTGCACCGTTATCTGATATTGTGATATGACGGTTTGCACAGCTATCTGATAATGTGAGATGACGGTATGTAGATATTGTGAGATGACGGTTTGCACAGCTATCTGATATTGTAAGATGACGGTTAGCACAGTTATCTGATATTGTGAGATGACGGGAAGCACAGTTATCTGATATTGTGAGATGACGATTAGCACAGCTATCTGATGTTGTGAGATGACGGTTTGCACAGCTATCTGTTATTGTGAGATGACAGTCTGTAGATATTGTGAGATGACGGTTTGCACGGCTATCTGATATTGTGAGATGACGATTAGCACAGCTATCTGATATTCTGAGATGACGGTTTGCACAGCTATCTGATACCGTGTGATGATTAGCAGAGCTATCTGATATTGTGAGATGACGGTTTGCACAGCTATCTGATATTGTGTGATGATTAGCAGAGCTATCTGATATTGTGAGATGACGGTTAGCACAGCTATCTGATATTGTGAGATGACGGTTAGCACAGTTATCTGATATTGTGAGATGACGGTAAGCACAGTTATCTGATATTGTGAGATGACGGTTAGCACAGCTATCTGATATTGTATGATGACGGTTAGCACAGCTATCTGATATTGTGTGATGACGGTTAGCACAGCTATCTGCTATTGTGTGATGACGGTTAGCACAGCTATCTGATATTGTGAGATGACGGTTAGCACAGCCATCTGATATTGTGTGATGACGGTTAGCATAGCTATCTGATATTGTGAGATGACGGTTAGCACAGCTATCTGATATTGGGAGATGACGGTTAGCACAGCCATCTGATATTGTGAGATGACGGTTTGCACAGCTATCTGATATTGTAAGATGACGGTTAGCACAGCTATCTTGAACATTGTGTTTTTCTCTGGATAACTTGTTTTTGTAAATTATGACTGCTTTTCAGTCTACAAGGATCGTTGTTGTCAGATTAATAGCTGGGTACTGCTAGCGTTGGTGATTTGCCTATTACCCAAAACAATGAAAAATATCAAAGAAGTTGATAGGGTTTTCTTTTAAATATTACACTGAATGAGACCTTGGAAATACGATATCCAGATACACAGTGACTCCGTCAAGAAGGATGTAGGGGAGTTTACTCGTAAATAAACATGAAACAGTTCACATTATTATGAAACAGTTCACATTATTATGAAACAGTTCACATTATTATGAAACAGTTCACATTATTCGGAGGTTTCGCCGAATGTCGTGCGCTGCATCTAATACGGAGCATATCGACAAAAAAATGTTTATTTTGTAGTCCCAAACATATTTGTGGCCCCAAAGGAATTCTAAATCAATTTAGATTTTCTGAAACATTCGTTAGTGGAGTCGGTATGAAGCGGCTAGTACATGTAATTTACCAGGGCAACATACTCCTTCTCCAGGAAAGGAACTCGTCCCAAGTGTTTCCAGAAGTAACAGCGATATGTGTTATCGCATGTGACTTTTGTTATTATTTCTCTGACCCTCATGTATATTTGATGTACAGAATAACCAACTGTACCGCAATATATGTGTAGTATATATGCGCGGGGAAATGCACGGCCAGACCAGGGTTCGTACCCAGGACCCTCCGAACTCTAGATGGACGCTCTACCAATTGAGCTACCTAGTCGCCGACGATCGACCCAGTCTAATTCCGCTACATTCCTCCCTCCTTCAACAATGTCTTCGACCCCGAAGACACACCCTATACCACCTTCCGTGGGTAATGCACGGCCAGACCGGGGTTCGAACCGGGGACCCTCCGTACTTTAGACGGGCCATTTACCAGCTGCGCTACCTGGTTGCCGACGATCGATCCAGTCTATTTTAACCATAGTGACACGAGGAAGTATTTCAAACGATAGACATGCCGATTCTGCTGTACCTTACTGCACATTTAAAAATTACACAAAAAGGTACATGTGGTTAACCAGTACAGATCATTGTTATAGAAGTATACGTTCACATCGGTATGGCTTCGCAAAGATCGGGTAATAAATTACATGTATCAAAAATAACTTATCAAAGATACATATATGACAGATAAACAAAGATACATGGTTATGAAACTAAGAATAAACAATGATTCAATTTGGATTACTTTCGAAACGGTGTGATATAAAAAAAATCATAAGGCTCAATCAATATGCGCGCTGATACCCGGAAGTGACCAGGGTTTAAAATGCTCGCAAAATATGGAGACGGGGACAGGATAAATACAAGATGTCCAATTGTATATCGTGCTTAATAGCTCACCAGAAAGGACGCATACCTTAATAGATCAATAAGAGCTGTATAGTATGTTTCTCACATTGCATGTACAAGTTATATCACCTGACGTTATTTACTCTCTGAAATTCCCAGAACACGTAAAATGGGCAGAAAGTGATGAAACCTATATAAGATACATGTACATTTGTATTGGTGACCAGTCTCGGATGCAGCAGTGTGTACTAGAAGCTTCAGCGATGATGCCCAACAAAGCCAACCCAGTTAGGCGGAAGCACGAGGTTAATTTGAGTCAAACAAGCTCTACACAGTCGTGAAAATGTAACTGAAAATGCAAATTCAACTTATTTTCGTAAAGTAATAAACATGAAGCAAGTTAAGCTAAGAGATTTAACTTCAGCTCAACAAATCAGAGAAAACGAGGGATAAATATTAACTTAATTCATGAAGTAAATGCCGTTAGTTTGAGCTATTTGTTTGCACAGGCTAACCAAATGGAAAGAAATTATTAAGGTTCAATGCAGTTGCTCGAATGTTACTTGATGATTCGGTCATTAATGAGAGGAAATAATTCAAATTCAGCAACAACCCTTCATATTAAATTTAACAAGAACGTACCTGGTACTACGTAAAGAGTTTCCCTTGAAGATGTTATTTTTAAATCAGGGACTTCCCCTCCCGCGACTGGTGTTATTTCCGGTTTCACAATGACGTCTGTTCCGTTAGACTCTAACTTTGGCTCAAACTTGGTAAAAGTGTCGATCACCGTTTCGCACTTTTCCTCGTAACGTTTTAAAGTCCACGTCGTTTTAGCATCAGTGAAAAAGTCAGTTGGAGTGTCTTCCCCCGGAAGATATGTGGACCAGCTCAGATTACCGTGGGGATCGGGGTATCCCGCCATCCAGGAGGCCGAGATACGGAGCAGCTCTCCTTCAATGACCTGCACTGGAATCTCCATATTGACTTCCGGGGCCGGATCCACTGAATATAATGCGAAAATGTTTGTTATGTATTAGTGACTACCGGTTGTAGATGATCTATCTGTCATCATCTGACATATTGACAGAGCTGTAGGAAGTTCTGATGAATCGCAAATGATTCTTTCTCTGAATAATGATATCAGTCATTGGCATTATGTACTGTACAAAAAGGAGTAAGGGGGAATAACCCAAGCTACTACGACCTAATCAACGTAAAATAGTCATTATTTGTTGCGTATTAGCTGAGATTGAAGAGGTGGGAAACTCGGGGATAGTAATGATGTAAAAAGTGTACAGTATAAAGAGTAAGCTGGGTCGATAGAAGTATGTTTATTGATACGGCACCGGATGTCGAAGATAACCAGTGGTAAGTAGAATGTTTAAAATATGAAAACAACAAAATCAACATTTCAATGCTTAAGATTTTTGAAGACAGATCATTCTAGTGTGTTTTGAGGATTTATTTTACTTTGAGAGCCACTGTATTTGAGTGGCAACAACATTATTTTACACTAACCACTCGTTATAACTAAAGTTACCAAATCGTGCCAGTGGTTTAATTGTTTACCTGTGATGATGACTTTGGCTGTCCGACTCTCCGTCTCGCCGCCCGCCTGGACACCACACGTGAAAGTGTCCTGGTTGCCACAAATAACGTCCGTGTAGGCGATGTATACCAATACGTCGTCAAGACTGACGTCTTTTATGTTTTTCTGCTTTTTGTGGCTTACAACCATATCAGAGTTATTTCCCTTTAATGAAAATTCTCCGGAAAAAGTCAAAATGTATTCAAAAATGCCGGGTGGCTGTGATTTACGTTTACCGCGTATGAATACGGATGTCCATTCTGAGATTCCCCTGAGGCTACAGGAAAATATTCCACTTGATCCTATCGTCGTGTACATATCCTTCATTTCAATGGACTCTGTAAAAATCAAAACCTGTCAGCTGTGACGGATTGCCTCTGGCTACATAGATACATATATTAAGTGGCACCCCTCATTAAATGCCACCAAATCTCCGGCTTAAGTTTAACACATTTCGATCATTGCTTTAATATCAAACAAAAATGATCAAATGCAAATTATTACAAATCATCTATGCCTACTCTATCACACTAATCTAGCCATATCAATAATATAAGTAAACACAACGACAAAATGTATTGCTGGAAGTGATGCACTTGTTTTTTATTTTTTGAATTTATTGTCCAGCGAACCATGAGCGTTACTAAAGTATTCATAATTTAAATTCCGTCCGGCATTTAAATATTTACAACAGAACCCATCTTTCAATAGTAATAAGTGGCATTCAAATAGAAAACGAAAGGAAATATTACATGAATGTTCACAGATATATTTTTGACTGTACGTCGCATAGTAGGGAAAATATTCAGTTACATAGAAAATTATTGTAAAAGGACATACGTTGATGTTAAGGAGGTATTTGAATAATTAAAGAGAGGCAAAAATGGTACTGTTAAAATGACACAAAAGAATTTCTAAAAGGAGTTTTTTTTATATGAAACCCAAAATGGTTATTTCTCCTTTACAGGGGTGAAAGATGATTTCATTAATCAGTATTGAAACTGTGCATTTTGAATGTTAAGCCAGATATTTTTGATTTTCTTTAATCGACATATAGTTTCTATACATATTTTAAAAAAGGGGGTGTAAGTGGCTGACCGTATCTGTCTGAGAGGTACCCGGACTTGCGTCCCAGTTTAGGGGTGCTAGTGGCCGATTATATCTGTCTGAGTGGTACCCGTACTTACGTCCCAGTTTAGGGGTGCTAGTGGCCGACTCTATCTGTCTGAGCGGTTCCCGTACTTACGTCCCAGTTTAGGGGTGCTAGTGGCCGACTTTATCTGTCTGAGCGGTACCTGTACTTACGTGCCAGTTAAGGGGTGTAAGTGCCCGACTTTATCTGTCTGAGCGGTACCCATACTTACGCCCCAGTTTAGGGGTGTTAGTGGCCGACCGTATCTGTCTGAGCGTTACCCGTACATGTACTTGTACGATCCAGTTAAGGGGTGTTAGTAGCCGACTCTATCAGTCTGAGTGGTACCCGTACGTACGTGCTAGTTTTTGGGTGTTAATGGCCGACTATATCTGTCTGAGCGGTACACGCACTTGTACGAGCCAGATTGGGGTGCTAGTGGCCGATTATATCTGTCTGATTAGTACCTGTACTTACGTCCCAGTTTAGGGGTGCTAGTGGCCGACTTTATCTGTCTGAGCGGTACCCGTACTTACGTGCTAGTTGTGGGGTGTTAGTGACCGACTTCATCTGTCTGATCGGTTCACACACTTGTACGAGCCAGTTTTGGGGTGTTAGTGGCCGACCGTATCTGTCTGAGCGTTCCCCGTCCATGTCCTTGTACGAGCCAGTTTAGGGGTGCTAGTGGCCGACTCTATCTGTCTGATCGATACCCGCACTTGTACGAGCCAGTTTTGGGGTGTTAGTGGCCAACTCTATCTTTCTGATCGGTACCCGCACTTGTACGAGTCAGTTTAGGGGTGCTAGTGGCCGACTCTATCTGTCTGACCGGTACCCGTACTTACGTGCTAGTTGTGGGGTGTTAATGGCCGACTATATCTGTCTGATCGGTACCAGCACTTGTACGAGTCGGTTTAGGGATGCTAGTGGCCGACTCTATCTGTCTGAGCGGTACCCGTACTTACGTGCTAGTTGTGGGGTGTTAATGGCCGACTCTATCTCTCTGAGCGGTACCCGTTCTGACGTGCTAGTTGTGGGGTGTTAATGGCCAACTCTATCTGTCTGATCGGTTCACGCACTTGTACGAGTCAGTTTTGGGGTGTTAGTGGCCGACTCTATCTGTCTGAGCGGTACCCGTACTTACGTGCTAGTTGTGGGGTGTTAGTGGCCAACTCTATCTGTCTGATCGGTACCCGCACTTGTACGAGTCAGTTTTGGGGTGTTAGTGGGCGACTCTATCTGTCTGAGTGGGACCCATACTTACGTGCTAGTTGTTGGGTGTTAGTGGCCAACTCTATCTGTCTGACCGGTACCCGTACTTACGTGCTAGTTGGGGGGGGTTAGTGGCCAACTCTATCTGTCTGATCGGTTCACACCCTTTTACGAGTCAGTTTTGGGGTGTTAGTGGGTGACTCTATCTGTCTGAGCGGTACACGTACTTACGTGCTAGTTGTGGGGTGTTAATGGCCGACTATATCTGTCTGATCGATACCCGTTCTGACGTGCTAGTTTTGGGGTGTTAGTGACCGACTCTATCTGTCCGAGCGGTACCCGTTCTGACGTGCTAGTTTTGGGGTGTTAGTGGCCAACTCTATCTGTCTGAGCGGTACCCATACTTACGCCCCAGTTTAGGGGGGTTAGTGGCCGACCGTATCTGTCTGAGCGTTCCCTGTACATGCCCTTGTACGAGCCAGTTTAGGGGCGCTAGTGGCCGACTATATCTGGCTGATCGATACCCGTTCTGACGTGCTAGTTTTGGGGTGTTAGTGACCGACTCTATCTGTCTGAGCGGGACCCGTACTTATGTGCTAGTTGTGGGGGGTTAGTGGCCGACTCTATCTGTATGAGTGGTACCCATACTTACGTGCTAGTTGTGGGGTGTTAATGGCCGACTCTATCTGTCTGAACGGTTCACGCACTTGTACGAGCCAGTTTTGGGGGGTTAGTGGCCGACTTTATCTGTCTGAGTGGTACCCGTACTTACGTGATAGTTGTGGGGGGTTAGTGGCCAACTCTATCTGTCTGATCGGTTCACACCCTTTTACGAGTCAGTTTTGGGGTGTTAATGGCCGACTCTATCTGTCTGACCGGTTCCCGTTCTTACGTGCTAGTTGTGGGGTGTTAGTGACCGACTTCATCTGTCTGATCGGTTCACACATATGTACGAGTCAGTTTTGGGGGGTTAGTGGGCGACTCTATCTGTCTGATCGGTTCCCGCACTTTTGCGAGCCAGTTTTGGGGTGTTAGTGGCCGACCGTATCTGTCTGAGCGTTACCTGTACATGTCCTTGTACGAGCCAGTTTAGGGGTGCTAGTGGCCGACTATATCTGTCTGATCGATACCCGTTCTGACGTGCTAGTTTTGGGGTGTTAGTGACCGACTCTATCTGTCCGAGCGGTACCCGTTCTGACGTGCTAGTTTTTTCTGAGTGGTATCCGTACTTACGTGCCAGTTTTGGGGTGTTAGTGACCGACTCTATCTGTCTGAGCGGTACCCGTTATGACGTGCTAGTTTTGGGGTGTTATTGACCGACTATATTTTTCTGAGTGGTATCCGTACTTACGTGCTAGTTTAGGGTCGTCGGTGGCCGACTCTATCGGTTTGAGCGGTATAAACTGTGGTCTGCCGTCCCCCTCAGTGATAGTGGGGATGTTTTCTAGTTTAGGTATGTTTACACTGTGTCTCGGGGAGATGGTGGTGATACCAAGTCTCCGGGATTCGTTTACTGTAAAATGGCAAGAACCCGTATGTTATATAAACTGTCTTTGTATTGTATTGAAATTACAGAATGAATGGAATTAGAACGAAAAGTATACAGAAAAAGACAAAATAAAACAAATTAACACCAATAAAATATCACATACAAATCACGCGTTAATGAACATATTTAATCATTAATAGAATCACATTAACAAGCCCTGCATGTCTACTATAGACGATAACATATACCTTTAAAGTAAAGCATTACAATTTCTGACTAAAGAGTAAATGATTCAGATTCAGATTCTTTATTTCCTTATGTTTACAACACATCGGAGAGTAGACATACCTATGTACAAGATATCACAATGTATAACACATCGGAGAGTAGACATACATATGTACAAGATATCACAATGTATAACACAAATTACAGTTGGTGCGATAGTGTACAATGCATAACATAGCTTATTAAAACACAATATACCTGTATGTGGGTATAACATACAGAACATGCAGAGAACATAGGGGGGTGTATACGTATAAAACGCATAGATCTAACTATAGTGGCTTCAGAAAACAATTAATTTCACTTCCGAGGATGTTTCCCTCTATGTTATCTCCCTGTAAGTGGGCGTGACTCTCCCTGTAAGTTGGCGTGACTCTCCCTGTAAGTGGGCGTGATCCAAGGAATTCTGAGGATGTTTCCCTCTATGTTCTCTCCCTGTAAGTGGGCGTGATCCAAGGAATTCCGAGGATGTTTCCCTCTATGTTCTCTCCCTGTAAGTGGGCGTGACCCAAGGAATTCCGAGGATGTTTCCCTGTATGCTCTCTCCCTGTAAGTGGGCGTGACTCTCCCTGTAAGCGGGCGTGACCCAAGGAATTCCGAGGATGTTTCCCTGTATGTTCTCTCCCTGTAAGTGGGCGTGACTCTCCCTGTAAGCGGGCGTGACCCAAGGAATTCCGAGGATGTTTCCCTCTATGTTCTCTCCCTGTAAGTGGGCGTGACTCTCCCTGTAAGTGGGCGTGACCCAGGGAATTCCGAGGATGTTTCACCCTATGTTCTCTCCCTATAAGTGGGCGTGACCCAAGGAATTCCGAGGATGTTTCCCTCTATGGTCTAGCAAAGTTAACAGTTTCAAAACAAATCTATAATTTGGTCCGAAACTCGATCGTTACAGGTTTTTATTCAAATGCATTTACTGCACGTGAGGGTTTGTTTTCATGATCTGTATTTTCGTAATAACTTTAATTTATGTCAACATAACCCATTTAACTGTGCTACATTTTGTAGGAATCTGAATTCATAGCAAAGTTTCCTTCCACAACACATGTCTATACCCGGTTTAACACAAACTAATCAAGCACCTAAAACAACCTAACATACAATGTGTATATCCTTCACCAGTTCGGTAGGATACAGTTAGGGTTCACATGAAAGATAGGAAACCTCGTTACACTGCATTCGGACACACGAGTAAAATCATAATAACTGGTCTCATTCCTCTGAACTACGTACCTAAGCCGCTTAGGTTCTGATGATGAGTGTCACTTCCGGGAATATGGATGGGGGCGCTGTTGGACACGTGTTCCTTACCTGTGCGTCATTAAAACAATGTGTTTACATTTGGTGATGTTCCATTAACTAGTTTGTAAGACAACTGTGTGACAGTCGGACGGAAACTGTTAATACTCTCGCGGTGGGTTTATATATGTATTACAATTATAATGTATGGTTCTTAGTTCTCCATTCACCATAGTTCTCGTCTTCAATGTACATTTACTTTCAAGCATTATTATTTAAACAGACGTCACTGGTTTGATCCCTATGGTGCAGATGAATTGATAAATATGACCCTACATTGGCATATATTCTTTAAATAATTAATAAAATGATATATCAAAGAAACCTACTTTTTACAAAAACGAAGTGGATGATAAGCGCTACAGCAGCTGCTATGGCGCCGAGACATAGAATTCCCAGAACCACACAACCAATCGTCCGTCTATTCCGCCGTTTCTTTTCAACATTCCGCAGAAAGTTATCAGAATTTGTTGACGTCATACGTGAGATTGGCGTAGCGCCATTGTTCTCCATAGCTTTGCTGCCAAGGGGAGGTAACCAGTTCGTTTCGTCATTGAGGATAGGGGGTTCTGACGGTAGTGAGTTACTGCTCACGGCACTGGCTCGATTGTTGAGAATCTGAAAGAGAAATTCAACAGAGTGAACGATCCCTACAATTACTAGTCATAGTCTACTGTGGCATCACCCTCATATCATACTATCATAACTTCGCCATATCAAACCCTGAAAATGATGACTACTCGCAAAGTTGAACTTGCTTCGATTTACGGCAAATGGGACATATTAGTAAACAAACGTTGTAAACACGCTTTATTATATTTCCCACGAACAAAACATTTTTCAACAACTTATATATTTAGAGTGCAAAAAAACAAACAAAGATTAAATACAATGATAAAATTCATGTAAATTTTAGTTCTCAATTGCTGTTTAACTTTCTTAAACAACTAATTTGTGTTAAGGGTTCTCTTGTCATTCATGTATCCTATATATACTAGTGGATATATATGTATTATCATAGTTTCCATATTGGTATTAACACCTATATTGGTGTAAACATAGATTTCTATTGTGAAAAAAACCAAAAACCGAGGATTCCCTGGAGGTGATCCCTGGTGTGGACATTAGGTTATATACGTGACTACTAAAATCCTACACCTCGACACGCGGTACGCTCGATTATATTGTGACACCATACATTTACATTGGCGAATATATATAAGTAAATCCTCAAGTGTACACCTCATTGAGAAAAATATATCTATAAAGTATGTAAAGTGTGTGTACATAATGATATCTCGTATGCTTTAATCATTGTGTGATGCCAATTCTCCGATAAGCTTTAAGTCATCTTCCTTCTTTTGTTAAGTATTTTTTACCTGTCAGGTAAATCATGTCACCTGTAATTAAACTGCAATCCCCATTCATCACCAAAGGTCACTGGCTACAGTAACCGTTGTATGGCGTTTCTCACCTGGGAGTGGCGAGAGATGATGACACTTATATGTTTATCGTTAGTGTTTACGAGCGCTGCCTCACAGATCAAACCGTCCATAAGTATAACTGTGCTTGCCTGTACAAACATGTCGTCTGCCTGTCCATAAACTGAAAAAGAACTTGAACATGAACATGTCCAAAAAGTCCACCTGTATATAACGACCACCTGTGTATAACGACATCTCCAATTAGATGACAACTTGTCTACATGTTGTTTTGTATGTTAAGGACCAGCTGTATATAACGACCAACTGTATATCTGTATATAACGACCAACTGTATATCTATATATAACGACCAACTGTACACCTGTATATAACGACCAACTGTATATCTGTATATAACGACCAACTGTATATCTGTATATAACGACCACCTGTGTATAACGACCAACTGTACACCTGTATATAACGACCAACTGTATATCTGTATATAACGACCAACTGTACACCTGTATATAACGACCACCTTTTTATAACGACATCTCCAATTAGATGACAACTTGTCTACATGTTGTTTTGTATGTTAAGGACCAGCTGTATATAACGACCAACTGTACATCTGTATATAACTACCAACTGTATATCTGTATATAACGACCAACTGTATATAACGACCAACTGTACACCTGTATATAACGACCAACTGTATATCTGTATATAACGACCAACTTGATATACATGTAACGACTGACTGTGCATATCGACCAACTTGTATGTGATGACAACAACCTGCATACGTGATTTGTTTCGTCTTAAAGGACCACCTGTGTGACCAACCGACCTGTTGATGTGGACTAGCTCTATACAACGACATCATGTATACAGGACAACCTGTACAATAACCACTCGTACAGTAGCCCACCTGACTACAGGACAATTTGTCTCAAGAACGAGCTGCATAAAGTGACCACGTCTTTTGGAGACAATGTGTCTTTAAGGACAACCTATATATATACCATCACTTGTATATAAAGACCACTGGTATATGGGACAGTTGGTTTATGATGACAATCTGTATATAGTGACCATCTATCACCAGAATCATTTGTAGTGGCAACCTGCCAGAGAAGCCTCGTTTTAATGTCCCAAGTTTTGTCGTACTCCGACTCATTTTATACCTTGGAACAAGAGGTAAAATACACCCTGACAGAATAATTCAAACATACACTAGTTATGTACAATGATTACAGAGCATAACGAGGATACAGTGTTATAAACGGCCTAATTATAAATATCACACCGTTGTTTACCAGTACATAGAACAATCAATGTGTGTGAAACGAGACTATAGACAAATCATAATCCACTTAACCCATCTTAGCTGTCAACGTATACTACCATGATGGAACAATTGTGACAGCTGCTTATTTATTCATCATCAAACCTACTTGCTATGGTGTGGGAAATTCCTGTCGAGCAATCATTTAAATGTTTGTTAATGTTATCACACTTCGTGTCATTTAACGACTCGGAGCAGCAACTAAATTAAGGTTTAACATCTGTGATATCAGTCGAATGAATGCGAAATGCTAGTTTGATGTTTTGGATTTGATAATTCAGCAAGTATATCGCCAGGACTGGTATTGAAGTTCATGTATGAAGATATTGATAATATAACATATGGGTATTGTGCGTAGAATATGCTAGTATTGATAGTGTAATAACATAAAGAGAGTCACAAAAGACAGGTTCTACTATAGAGACGGAAGGGGAGGTCTTACAAGACAGGTTTAACTGCACTGAGAGAAGGGATTGTCTTACAAGACAGGTTTTATTGTAGAGACAGAAGAGGTCTTACAAGACAGGTTCCAGTGTGGTGACAGAAGGGGTATTCTTACAAGACAGATTTAAATATAGAGACAGAATGGGTGGTCTTACAAGACAGGTTCTACTGTATTGACAGAAAAGTTGGTGATACAAGACAGGTTCTACTTTAGTGAAAAAAGGGGAGATCTCATACGACAGGTTCTACAGTAGTTACAGAAGGGGAGGTCTTACAATACAGGTTTGACTAGTGACAGAAGGGGAGGTCTTACAAGACAGATTCTACTGTAGTGGATAAAGTGGATGATCTCATAAGACAGATTTTACTGTATTGAATAAAAGGGGCAGTCTCACAAGACAGATTCTACTGTAGTGAATGAAGGGGTGGTCTCACAAGACAGGTTCTACTGTAGTATATAAAGAGAGTGGTCTCACAAGACAGGTTCTACTGTAGTATATAAAGAGAGTGGTCTCACAAGACAGATTCTACTGTAGTGGATAAAGTGGATGATCTCATAAGACAGATTCTACTGTAGTGAATAAAAGGGGCAGTCTCACAAGACAGATTCTACTGTAGTGAATAAAGGGGTAGTTTCACAAGACGGGTTCTACTGTAGTGAATAAAGGGGGTAGTTTCACAAGACTGGTTCTACTGTAGTGAATAAAGAGGGTTGTTTCATAAGACAGATTCTACTGTAGTGGATAAAGTGGATGGTCTCACAAGACAGATTCTACTGTAATGAATAAAGGGGTAGTTTCACAAGACAGATTCTACTGTAGTGAATAAAGGGGGTAGTTTCACAAGACTGGTTCTACTGTAGTGAATAAAGGGGGTAGTTTCACAAGACAGATTCTACTGTAGTGAATAAAGGAGATGGTCTCACAAGACAGATTCTACTGTAGTGAATAAAGGGGGTATTTTCACAAAACGAATTCTACTGTAGTGAATAAAGGGGGTGGTCTCAAAGGACGGGTTCTACTGTAGTGAATAAAGGGGTTTGTCTCACAAGACAGATTCTACTGTAGTGAATAAAGGGGGTAGATTCGCAAAACGAATTCTTCTGTAGTGAATAAAGAGGGTAGTTTCACAAGACGGGTTCTACTGTAGTGAATAAAGGGGATAGTTTCACAAGACAGATTCTACTGTAGTGAATAAAGGAGAGGGTCTCACCAGACGGGTTCTACTGTAGTGAATAAAGGGGGTGGTCTCACAAGACAGATTGTACTGTAGTGTATTAAGGGGTTGGTCTCACAAGACATATTCTACTGTAGTAAATAAAGGGGGTAGTTTCACAAGACGGGTTCTACTGTAGTGAATAAAGGGGGTGGTCTCACAAGACGGGTTCAACTGTATTAAATAAAGGGGGTGGTCTAACAAGACGGGTTCTACTGTGGTGAATAAAGAGGATGGTCTCACAATGGGGGTTCTACTGTATTGAATAAAGGGGGTAGTTTCACAAGACGGGTTCTACTGTAGTGAATAAAGAGGGTTGTTTCATAAGACGGGTTCTACTGTAGTGAATAAAGAGAGTTGTTTCACAAGACGGGTTCTACTGTATTGAATAAAGGGGGTAGTTTCATAAGACGGGTTCTACTGTAGTGAATAAAGAGGGTTGTTTCACAAGACGGGTTCTACTGTAGTGAATAAAGAGAGTTGTTTCATAAGACGGGTTCTACTGTAGTGAATAAAGAGGGTTGTTTCACATGACGGGTTCTACTGTAGTGAATAAAGGGGGTAGTTTCACAAGACGGGTTCAACTGTATTAAATAAAGGGGGTGGTCTCACAAGACGGGTTCTACTGTGGTGAATAAAGAGGATGGTCTCACAAGACGGGTTCTACTGTATTGAATAAAGGGGGTAGTTTCACAAGACGGGTCCTACTGTAGTGAATAAAGGGGGTTGTTTCACAAGACGGGTTCTACTGTAGTGAATAAAGAGGGTTCTTTCATAAGACGGGTTCTACTGTAATGAAAAAAGGGGGTTGTTTCACAAGACGGGTTCTACTGTAGTGAATAAAAAGGGTTGTTACATTAGACGGATTCTACTGTAATAAAAAAAGGGGGTTGTTTCACAAGACGGGTTCTACTGTAGTGAATAAAAAGGGTTGTTACATAAGACGGATTCTACTGTAATAAAAAAGGGGGTTGTTTTACAAGACGGATTCTACTGTAGTGAATAAAGAGGGTTGTTACATAAGACGGATTCTACTGTAATAAAAAAGGGGGTTGTTTTACAAGACGGATTCTACTGTAGTGAATAAAGAGGGTTGTTTCACAAGACGGGTTCTACTGTAGTATATAAAGTGGGTTGTTACATAAGACGGATTCTAATGTAATAAAAAAAAGGGGGTTGTTTTACAAGACGGATTCTACTGTAGTGAATAAAGAGGGTTGTTTCACAAGACGGGTTCTACTGTAGTGAATAAAGAGGGTGGTCTCACAAGACAGATTCTCCAGTAATATAATTACTGTCGTCTACTATGGCATATAACTTGGAATCTAGAAGTTGTTGGCAGTCATCAGATACACTTTTTCACAGTCTGCAGCGAAAATATCGTTTAACATATGTCCTAACTCCTCCGGATAATATTGACATATTTTAAATCATACAGCAGGTTGAATATCTAGACAGGCCTGGTTACTCGACACTGTATTTAGACAGACGGGTTACTCGACACTGTATCTAGACAGACGGGGTTACTCGACACCGATCTAAACAGACGGGGTTACTCGACACTGTATCTAGACAGACCTGGTTACTCGACACTGTATCTAGACAGACAGGGTTACTCGAAACTGTTTCTAGACAGACGTGGTTACTCGACACTGTATCTAGACAGACGGGGTTACTCAACACTGTCTCTAGACAGACGGGGTTACTCGACACCGATTTAAACAGACAGGGTTACTCGACACTGTCTCTAGACAGACGTGGTTACTCGACACTGTATCTAAACAGACGGGGTTACTCGACACTGTATCTAGACAGACGGGGTTACTCGACATTGTAACTAGACAGACCTTGTTACTCGACACTGTATCTAGACAGACAGGGTTACTCGACACTGTATCTAGACAGACGGGGTTCCTCGACACTGTATCTAGACAGACGGGGTTAGATACAGTGTCGAGTAACAAGGTCTGTCTAGATACATGTACAGTGTCGAGTAACCCCGTTTGTCTAGATACAGTGTCGAGTAACCCTGTCTGTCTAGATACAGTGTCGAGTAACCAGGTCTGTTTAGATACAGTGTCGAGTAGCCCCGTCTGTCTAGATACAGTGTCGATTAACCCCGTCTGTCTAGATACAGTGTCGAGTAGCCCCGTCTGTCTAGGTACAGTGTCGAGTAACCCCGTCTGTCTAGATACAGTGTTGAGTAACCCCGTCTGTCTAGAAGTAACCCCGTCTGTCTCCTCGCGTATAGATACAGTGTTGAGTAACCCCGTCTGTCTAGATACAGTGTCAAGTAACCCCGTCTGTCTAGATACAGTGTCAAGTAACCCCGTCTGTCTAGATACAGTGTCGAGTTACCCCGTCTGTCTAGATACAGTGTCAAGTAGCCCCGTATGTCTAGATACAGTGTCGATTACCGGCGTCTGTCTATATTCAGTGTCGAGTAACCACGCCTGTCTAGTTCCAGTGTCGAGAAACCCCGTCTGTCTAGATACAGTGTCGAGTAACAAGGTCTGTCTAGATACAGTGTCGAGTAACCCCGTTTGTCTAGATACAGTGTCGAGTAACCCCGTCTGTCTAGATACAGTGTCGCGTAACCCCGTCTGTCTAAATACAGTGTCGAGTAACCAGGCCTGTCTAGATAAAGTGTTGAGTAACCAGGTCTGTCTAGATACAGTGTCGAGTAACCAGGTCTGTCTAGATACAGTGTTGAGTAACCAGGTATGTCGAGATACAGTGTCGAGTAACCAGGCCTGTCTAGATACAGTGTCGAGTAACCCCGTCTGTCTAAATACAGTGTCGAGTAACCAGGCCTGTCTAGATACAGTGTTGAGTAACCAGGTCTGTCTAGATACAGTGTTGAGTAACCAGGTATGTCTAGATACAGTGTCGAGTAGCCCCGTCTGTCTAGATACAGTGTCGACTAACCCCATCTGTCTAGATACAGACGGGGTTACTCGACACCGATCTAAGCAGACGGGGTTACTCGACACTGTATCTCGACAGACGGGGGTACTCGACACTGTTTCTAGACAGACGGGGCTACTCGACACTGTATCTAGACAGACCTGGTAACTGGACACTGTATCTAGACAGACGGGGTTGCTCGACACTGTATCTAGACAGACGGGGATACTCGACACTGTATCTAGACAGACGTGGTTACTCGACACTGTATCTAGACAGTCGGGGTTACTCGACACTGTATCTAGGCAGACGGGGTTACTCGACACTGTATCTCGACAGACGGGGGTACTCGACACTGTTTCTAGACAGACGGGGCTACTCGACACTGTATCTAGACATACCTGGTTACTCGACACTGTATCTAGACAGACGGGGTTACTCGACACTGTATCTAGACAGACGGGGTAACAACTCGACACTGTATCTAGACAGACGGGGTTACTCGACACTGTATCTAGACAGACGGGGTTTCTTAACACAGACTTCTATTGCATGAAAAGAAGGAGAGAGCCTCACGAAACATACTCTCCTAACTGGCGATAGATGTTCATCTGTTATCTCAGTCCGTGGTTCTACTGTATCAGTAAAAGGATGGTCTCACAAGACAAATTTGTCACAATTGATATTGACAAACATGTTTTACACATGATTTAATTGACATTTGTAATGTAAAAATCTATAAGCCTTTTTTTACCTACAGGTAAGGCTGTTATGGTGACCTACATGAGCCTATACTTACAACATATATACACATGGTGATGGGTGGAATCTGTAACATTATAGATGTTTCACATACATTTATACCACACGAGAAATATTAACAAGCACACTATAATACTATACTATAATTACAAAAAGCACAGGATTCGTTACCTTGGTGAGGTCGTGACTCTGCAGGTAGTCTTGGTAACGCTTAAATAGCGTTCCGTCGAAAAACAGCGTCCATAACGGTCGGCCATCGGGAACCGGGTCGTCCATCCAGGATGGCGGGGGTCCGGTATTGTCACGAAGAGTGTCGACAGAATCTATACCATCAATATATCCCCGACACTTGGGTTAAATTCCCAAGGACCACACGTAAATCCCGTCAGTCTAAAATGGCGGCCGGCTGAATTTCGTCCGAGAGTCCGAGACTTATTGCCCAGGTGTGGCGTCACTATATACTTGTTAAGTTATGTGTTTCGTTTGTTTAAACATATGAATTTTTAATTAGATATATTATTTTACCTGTGCTCTACCTGAGAGTGTCAAACCCTGTGATAAGTCATCGTTGTCATTGTGATTCTGACAGCGCATCACGCGTCACTTCAGCCTTACAGCTCCGCATTGTCTGCCGTGACCGTCACGTAAGATAGAACCCATTAATTCATATAGACACAGCTGATTGTAACATTGTCGTCGCCCGCTTCGGTCGCTGAGACAAATCGTAGACTCCGTGTGTGTGAGGTTATGAGTTCGAACCTCTATGGGAATTTACCACAGGAAAATGAGAATTATTGTATTTTGATACCATTTCCCAGAGTGTACGGAGAGTGGGCGTTTTTCATCCTCATTATCATCATACAAGAAAAATGTACAAAAGTATCAGTGATGGTGTTGTGTTTTGGTGATTGTCTTCTTCAGTTGTTTCTATACTCTATTGAAATATTATAGTTAATTTAATCAGAAATTTAATCAGAAATACATGCATTCTATTGGTTGCCATTATTTTAAGCACATCTCTCAGATTGTTATAATATGTAGACCTCTCAGATTGTTATAATATGTAGACCTCTCAGATTGCTATAATATGTAGACCTCTCAGATTGCTATAATATGTAGACCTCTCAGATT